CCCCCCCTCCCCCCCCTGCTTCCTGCCCCCGGCAACGGCAGGCGGCTCTTCATCGGCAAGCTGTCTTACGCGGCCACGGTGCCGGACCCGCCCTTCGAGCCGAAGTCCATCAATCTGCCGATGTCGCCGTTCAGCTTCACGTCCTACCGGCTGGCGTCGCTCGAGGCCCATGCCCCGGTGCGCATGACGTCGATGGCCAGCTTGGCAGCCCTGCTGCCGGCGGCCAGCCTCCTGGACGCGGCCCAGTGGGATGTTCCCCGGGCCGCCGGGGGCCAGCACCTGCATCCGGACGATGCGCTCCTCCTGGGGGACATGCCCCCGTCGGAGGAGGCCGGCGCGCAGAATCGCCGCGGTCTGGCCGCCATCCCGACCATTTCCCTGGTGGGCGAGGATTACACCAATCGGCCGAAGTTCCTGCTGGCCTCGGAGCTGACCAAGGCCAGCATGGATGCCAAGGCGGCGCGGTGCGTTGAACATGGCCGGCGTATTGCCCTTTGCGCGCCCCCCTGCTCGGGCCCGGACGCCGACACGCTGACATCTTGCCCCCCCCCCCCCCCCCCCCCCCCCCCCCCCCCCCCCCCCCCCCCCCCCCCCCCCCCCCCCCCCCCCCCCCCCCCCCCCCCCCCCCGCCTGGCCCCCCTTGGGGCCCCTGGCGCTCGCGCGCGTGCGCGCCGATAGTGCCGACCCGTCGGACCTCCTCTCGCTGCCGGAGCAGCAGCGCCTGATCGAGTCCACCTTCAAGGCATTCCACTCGGAGCAGGGGGCCCCGCTGGCCGGGTCGGAGCTGCTGGCCACGCTGGTGCACCCGACCAAGCCCCACCTGAAGGCCGTGGCAGCGGAGCCGATCTTCCCGCTGGAGGCGCTGGCGGCGGCCGGGCCGCCGGACGGCGGCCGGTCGCGTCCCCTGGACCCGGACTGGTCCGGCGCGCGGGCCGTCCTGAGCACCCTCCTGCCGAACGGCCCGCCGGAGTACGATGCCGAGGGGCTGTTCCTGGCGCCGCCGCCGAGCGGGCCGACTCCCGACACCGACCCGGTGGTCCAGGCGCTCGGGCCGCATGCGGCCGCCGAGCCGTCGGTCCTCTACTGGTTCAAGGAGAACCCCCTTAGCACGCCGGTTGGGCCCCGCGTGAACCAGGTGCGCGCGCGCGCGCGCGCGAACATCGCCGGCCGTGGGCGTCTTTTGTGTCGGCCCGTCCGCTGACCCGGTGCTCCCGCCCCCCCCC